TGGGATCCATATTTGGCACATCTTCCTGCTCGGGAACATCGTATACATGCCTTGGTGAAACCTTATGTACTATCCACCAGGTACCACCATTTTTCAAATCCTCTAGGTAGAAAACATGCTTAGCTTGACTAGCTAATATGTAAGGGTCATTAGGATACCATTTTTTGCCTATGTTGATAGTAGTTATATAGTCATCTGACCTAATCCCATTTCTCTTATCCCCCTACGTCCCCACCAATCACATTTGAAAACATAAATGTGACAACCATAGCAAAACTGGAATTTCAGAATTTGAACCAACACTCCTTAGTAGTCTATTATTTCTCCATTGTGATCACCCTCAACAACAATTCCACAATTCTGAATTCTACGATGTTTGTCTACTTCATAGACATGGTATCAAATCTCATTAATAATGAGACCACCATATTTTGTAATTCTTACATCTGCACCTAGTTCTAGACTATAAAAATGGTTGTTTTTCTGGATTTTTCCAGACAAAAATTGTTGTGTAACCTATACGGAAAACAAACCAAGCAAGTAGGTCAGATTTGAATGCACAAGTAACCTATATAAAAAAACAACACAACTACATGAAATAGAAGTCTATCCTTACATGTGATTTCAACCATGAAGGGAAGTTAGCTTCAATAAAAGCAGGTGGACTGTTAGGATTAGTCTGCTTCATCTCCTCGGTGTACATACTGTGTGAGGGTTGCTTGTTAGAATAGACCATCATTCTATGGGAAACTGAAATTAACATGTAAAAACCTACTGAACTTACCTCAAGTACTCGTGGATTTCCTCACAGTTATTTAGAATATAACTTACAATATTATTGAAGTCAGAACATGATAAAATCACACTCTTAGCCCCGCCTAGTGGTTTACTTTTATGTGTAAAAATAGAAAACCCATTTGCATCCTGGTCTTCACGCCCCTCATCATTTCTGTCCAGACAAGTTGATCTAGACTCAACCCCTTCGAAGTATCTGCTACAGAACTCTGAACACTCTCTCGCTATATATCTCTCAGCTATAGATCCTTCGGGATGGGCTTTATTACTAACAAGACTCTTAAGGGTACCTAAAAACCTTTCGGAATAAAAGCAAACCAAACTGAATTTGTTAGGGACCTAAAAAATTCAAACATTAAAATGGAAGTTAATCGCCCTAGTCAGTTATGAAACAATTATGAAGAATGGTAGTACCTTTCCATTGGGTACATCCACCTATATTGAACTGGACCACCCAGTTCTACTTCACGAGGAAGATGAACAGCTAGGTGCATCATGGCAACAAAGGGACCTGGGGGATAAACCATCTCCAATTTACAGAGAATGAGAACTATGTTTCTTTGAAACTTCTCGACGGTAGACTTTTTTATTCTTTTCGAACATAACTCCTGAAAACAAAGCTTTCATTTTCCAATTTAACTGGACAACATAATTACACCTTTTTCCTTTTTTGAACCCAATTCGCTGTTTCAGCATTTATAGCACCATTCAACTGTTTCAGAATATCTTGTCCACTTAATATTGGAGGTTTAGCTCTAAACTCTGCTTTACTGTAAAATTTCCTACTTCTTCTCCACGAGTGACCTTGGTCCAACCATCTACGATGGCCCATATAGCATTCTTTGCCTCCAAATTTCAAAGAAAGTGAGTCTATCTCCCTATTGCAGACATGACATGCCAATTTACCCTTAGTGCTCTAGCAAGATAACATGCCATATGCTGGAAAATCATTTATCGTCCACAACAATGCATCATGTAGAATAAAGGTTTGGTTTTTGTATGCATCATAAGCTTTCACCCCTTTCTTCAATAATAAATCTAAATCTTCTATCAATGGCTCTAGATAAACATGTATATTATTTCCAGAAGATCTCTTACCAGGAATCAAAACAACAAGAAAAATGAAAGATTCCTTCATACACATCCATGGAGGTAAATTGTAGGGAGTTAACACAACCAGCCACATACTGTAACTAGAGCTCATGTTCCCAAATGGATTAAAACCATCACTAAACAATGCAATTCGGACGTTCCTAGGATCAACAACAAACCAACTGTGATCTCTATCAAACTTTTTCCAAGTTTTAGCATAAGCTAGATGTCTTAGCGTATCATCATCAATACATTTTTCCTTATGCCACCTCATATCTTTGGCAATGTCTTGAGTCATGAATAGCCTTAGTAGTCTATCCTTAATTGGAAAGTACCTTGCTCTTTTTACAGTAATCTCCTTTCCTTTACCGGATATAAACCTAGATTTCTGACACTTTGGGTAGGTTTTTAGCATTTTGAAGAGGACCTCGAAATATTACACAATCAGATGGGCAGGCATCTATAACAGTATATCCAAACCCAATGTATGAATATACTTCTTCACATAATAATATGAATTTGGAAGATTCTCATAATGTGGTAAAGCACTCTTGAATAAATCCAAATTCATGTTAAAGGACGTAACACTGCTATTTGTTAACAGTTTGTTGTGCATCATTTTCATAATGAATGACAATTTTGATAAGCTTTGGCACCCATTATAGCGAGGACAGTTAGCATCCTTTTATTAATCTAGCTAAGGTTGGATCCAAATTCCATTCACCAGCACCATCGAACCCAAAATCAGACTCTGTATTACCAAACTGAGTAGCTGTTGCAGTTGTACCCATATAAGCTAGTGTGGTACCCATGTCAGTATCTATCCCAACACTATCCATTTCGACTTCCTCAGAAGGTTGAGTTGTACCACTACTGCTACTATGATGAAAAGACTCCCCATGATGTACCCAGGTAATGTAATCCTCTACCATACCGTTTAAAAATATATCTGCTTTGACAAGTTGCATAGTATTAAATCAACAATTGTTGCATTTTTTGCAAGGGAACCTAATTCTACCATGTTGATCGGCGCAATTAGTTGCTAACTGCATAAATTTGTCAACCCCATTGACATCGTCAAAACAGAACCTATCTTTCAGCTTCAACCATGTTCTACTCATTATTCCAACTCTACTTAAAGTAGACTAACCACAACCTTCTGATGTTACCCCTGCTTGCAAGAACACTCGATAAATGAAGCAGTCACGATGGTAAATGACACCTGCACAATGATAAAAACAAATGTTAATAAGATAAATGAAGCATCAATGGACCCCTGCTTGCAAGAACACCTGATAAATGAAGCATCAATGGACCTCAACTATACACCTAGCAAACTAGTTCTAGAGATAAACTTGGACAAACAGATAGCACATTGTAATCGATCAAAAGGGAATTAAGATCCCCTGAATTCGAGTCTCTAGTGCAATCCAGAGGAGTAAAAACCCTCCATCGTCGAAAGGAAACCCTGGCCCTACTTTATTCCTAAACCCCGAAAACCATCACATCCGACGAGTAAAAACCAAGTACCAGAACCTAATCAAACTAAAACGGCATGCATGAATGAGATAAAGGGAAGAACATACATGCATCCACCAAAATTGAGGGTAATCCAGACGAATAATTGGAATCAAGAATAAGGGGAGGGTTGAGGGTCTGGCTACTTACTTTCTTTCGCTATCGCTTGTTGAGGAGACGAGCTTCAAGATGTTTGCGTCGCGATTGTGGAACGATTGGGGGAGATTTGGGGATGTCGGTTGAGGAGAAGAATTCAACAAAACGATTTTGGCGATTGCGGGATGCCGATTTAGGAGAACGTTTCGCATGGACAATTGGGGGATGGGGGGGAACCGTCGATTGGGGTTTTCAGCGGGGAAAATATTTTGGGTATAATATGTTCGAGAACTTTTGGGTTTTCAGCGTCCAGTACTTTTCCTTTCAAAAAATAAAAAGATAAACTCTCCCTCCTAATTTTCCCGCCAGGGGAAAAGTAAAAACCATTATTATGACGGTCTGACTTTGTCATAACAAACTTAATTAATGAAGTGTACTAGATATCTTGACAAATATACTTGTCACGATACATATGTACTGATGTATAATGTGACAAATTTTATTATGATGAAGTATTTTATCATAACATATAACCCATAATCCCTCCCGCTACCACTATTATGACAACTTTATAATGACAAAAATAATCTGTCATAATATAGGTTTAATGTGACGAACTATTATGACAATAAACAATTAGTCAAAATAGATATGTTAACACGAAGAAATAATTTTTCGTTATAATAGTCAACTTATTGTGACGAAATCATGATGACGAAATTTTTTTTCATCACAATAAGTGAAAATTGTTGTAGTGATTGTTGGTCGTTGTAAAATGAAAAGATTCTGAGCATAATATTGATGTTGTATATTGTTAATAAAATCTCATAATAATGTTGATAATGATAAAATAAATCGCTACCAATTATGATACAAACATACGTTAACCAATATCTCGCATGATTAATGATAATTCTATGATAAAATGCTAACTTCTTATCTATATACCTTAACAATGAAAAATATTATAATTATGAAAGAATCATGAAAATATGACATCTTGAACCATTGTTAAGAATATTCTAAGTCATCACAACATCATTTAAAACATTGATAATTATAATCCATACCTTAATAATGCTAGTGCATAACATTAATATTGTGAATCGTTGTCAATAATATTCTAACCGTTTACAACGTCATCGTAAACATTGATAATTATAATCCAAATTTTAATAATAGTGCATAACTATAATACATGCATGAGTTAAAACTAACTCGAAATTTGTTACTAGAGAACCCCAAAACGTTATTGTTGCGACCGCCCCTCGAATCGGGGGACCCGTCGCGAAATGCTCCGAGTCGCCATCGACCTTATTTATGGTGGATCAAACACCTTTTTTGGTCCGGTTCTAACCTTAGGGCTATAATCAGAACCTGGTCTGCGAAGTTTTAAAGTTCTGGGATCGGGGGTACGGTTATATGTGGGAAAGTCTATTTACGCCCCACAATTGTTACTACTTCAATCGAAATGTTTTTAAGGGTTGGGTGTATTATTATTTGCGTCTTATTATTTATTTAATTATATGATGATTCTATTAATTAATTAGGGATATATTAATATACAATTTAATCATACACCTATTGGCATAATTCTCAAATGTAAAGAGAGTTTTGATTAGTTGGACTCGAGCCTATTGGTTGCCTATGTATCTGAGTAGTCAGGATCAAAGTCCACATAGTTTGATTAAATTGGTAGATTTTGAAGTGATCTTAACACGTTCTATTGATCTTGATTAAGATAAAAAAAAATAGAGTTTTAAATGAGGAGTCTCACACATTAGGAGCATGGAGAATGTTTGTTAGTTGGACTTGAAACCTATTGGTTGCCTACGTAACCGAGTAGCCGGGATCAAAGTTCACGTAGTTCGTTAAAATTGATAGATTTGATATGTGATCTTAATACGTTCTATTGATCGTGATTAAGATAATAATTTTAGTTGTTGGGAAATGTATTTTTGTAATTGAGTGGTTGGTAATTAGAGCGAATTTCGACATATAATAAAACAAACATCATGGTCTATTGACCATGACTACGTGTTAAGATTGTTTATGTAAAATATGTATGAATAGTAATGATGATGTAATGCATTTGATAATCTCACGAGTATGAAATGTTGAATGATTTGGCGTATCGCAATAATTGTATTAATCGTAAACGAGTGGGTTGTTAAGAAGTTAAATTAAGAAAGCTAAAGCTGGGAAGGAATATGCTCCTGGCCTAATTGGTTTGAAGTGTTTAATTTGGTACTGTCGCGAGAGTCCTGGTTCGAAACTCGATGGATCTCTTTTTTTGTATTCATTCACAACAGAGGAGTGGTAATGACGAGCAGTGCAGGGGCATTTTGGTCAAATGAGGGGTACGGGGTATAAAAACTCTCTTAAGCTGAAACCGAAACCCTAATTCCCCTGTCATCTAAACCTACCCGCCTCTCACCTTCAACCTTCTCCCTTGTCTCTGTTCCATCTCGTTCTCTCTTGTGTTTCTGTTGAGACAAAAGCCAACAAAACTTCTCCTCTTCTCTTCCTCTCAGTCATCTACTTCTGTCCTCTCTCTCTCACCCTTTCTATGATTAGATGCAAAGGGAAGAGGAAGAAAGAAACACACCGATGGCAACGAAGATGGTGGCCCAGAGCGGCGAGTATTAGGACGGCGATGTTGAACGGAGGCAAGAGGATATTTTTTGTTTATCTGCATGTCATATTTTAGGTGAGATTTCGACTTTGGCTAAGTTTTTTATACATGTTGTTAAGCTGGCCTAGATTGATTAATCAGAATATTTTTATTAATCTGGGGTCATTGTGAATTCTGGGAAATTACGCTTAGTGATGGTTAGGTGTGTAGTCCAACATATGAAAACAAACTTACAAAAACAAGTAGAACGTACAAAGAAATAGTAAATGATGAACAAAGATTGATTTATAGATCTAGTATTGTAGTAGGCTTAAACATGAAATATTTAAATGGAAGTAACAGGATAATTACAGAAGTAAATAGAATGAACTCTTAAGGAAAAGCAATATCTGATTTTTTTGATTGCTTTTGTTATTCTGGTGAGATTTGCCGACATGTAATTTGCTTTGAAAGTCGATTGGGCTTGATTGCTTTTGGAGTTTTATTTGGGTCAGATTGTAATTTGATTGGGGTTGATTGAGTTTTGGTTTTGAAAAGAACTTAATACGATGGTTTAAGATGATGAAATGATAAAGATAATGGTTGGATTTTAGTTGGTGACCAACCTTTCTACTTGTAGGTTGATGACGATTTTGACCTCCCTTTGTTATCTCCTTGGGTTTTTTTCTGCTGAAATTGGCAGCACTGGTAGGTTGTCTGGTGAGGGAATTTTTTAACTTCCTTTGGCTTCTATTTGTGCAGGTTGTGAGTATGAAGACAAAAAAGGAAGGGAGAAGGAAGGAAACAAGTGTCAATAAGAAGGGGCTAGGAAATTTTATTGGCTAACTGTGTCTTTCAGTTGAGAAGAAAAGAAGAGGAAGTAGAGTTTTTTTTCTTGCTCGTGGTGGGGAGGAAGAAGATGAAGCAGCAGCTTTCGCAATGAAGAGGAAGAAGGAGCTGATCCTTTCCCCTGTTTCTTTTTCAAGCTTTTGGTGGTATGTGATGTATATAAGAGAGAAGAAGAAGGAGAAAGTGGGGTGAGCAGAGGCCGTCCCCCAAGAAGAAGCCCAGAGTTCCTCATTTTATAGCAGAAAATGCAACTTGGTGGGTACTTTTGATTGGCTAATAGGTAGTTTGTGTTGTATGTTTTTGATTGGCAAATGAGTGGGCTGGGCCTGGTCTCGGGTCGACTGAGATTGGATTTGGCACGAGTCTGGCTGGGCTTCGATTTTTTGGTTTGGTTGACTGTGATATGGGCTTGACCCAACTTTGACTGGGCAGGACTAGGTGACTTGGTTGACTTTTGACCTTGGGCATGAGCTCATGTTTCTATTATTGCTCTATTTTACATATCAATTATTGTGTAATAGCATTGTATTTATCTTAATAAAATTGGTATGACTTCTATTTTTTAATTTGAAATTGCGAACCAATTCTCCCAAGACCCAATATCTTAAGAATCAATTAACAGCATGACAGCCAAAATTAAACTCAACAATCAAAATTTACTATTGCTTTATCTCAATTGAGGAAAGTTGATGACCTAAGCACTATAAATTTGTTTTAGGTAGAAATTTGTTATTGCAAATTCCAAACAAAAATTTAATTTTACTTAGTAAAATATGTTTTTAACCCGGGCAAAAGGTGGTGTCTAGTTGCCCCCTTTGTATATCTCTTGGTATTTAAGAGGTATACAAAGTTCTTTTAAGACACCACATTTTTACAATGTAGAGATAAATAGAATGTTAGTGAGCGAAATCAAGGTGAATATTTGGGTGATGACATTACTAAGTTTCCCGTGATAGTCAACGGACAGGCTTCGTGGGAGGGTTTCAACTTGCCTGTGATATTCAACGAAACAAATTGATTAGATGACTTCTAAATTGCATGTGATAGTCGACGTAACAATTTTAGTAGGTAGATCTAATTTGTTCGTGATAGTCGACGAAACAAATTGATTAGGTGATTTCTAAATTGACCGTGATAGTCGACAAAACAAGTTTAGCAGAGGGTCTAATTTGCTCGTGATAGTCGACGAAACAAATTGACTAGGATTTCTAAATTGCTCGTGATAGTCGACGGAACAAGTTTAGAAGGGGGTCTAATTTGCTCGTGATAGTCGACGAAGCAAATTGACTAGGTTTTCTAAATTGCCTGTGATAGTCAACGGAACAAGTTTAGCAAGGCGTCTCATTTGTCCGTGATAGTCGACGGAACAAGTTTAGCAAGGGGTATAATTTGCTCGTAATAGTCGACGAAACAAATTGACTAAGTGGGTTCTAGGTTGCCCGTGATAGTCGACGGAACAAGAATAGTACAAAGGTCTTAATTTGCTCATGATAGTCGACGAAACAAATTCTTTAGGTAAGTTCTAGGTTGCCCGTGATAGTCGATGGAACAAGTTTGAAAGTAGCGATTTAATTTGCTCGTGATAGTCGATGAAACAAATTGTCTAGGAAAGTTTAGGTTGCTCATGATAGTCGACAGAACATCAAAGTGTTGTTTTGTACATGATTATGATGAATGATTGTGTAATGTGAAGTATCAGGATACTTTTGAAAGTGACCGATAGCGTGTGATGAATCTTGAAGAACCTAAATGCAGGATGTAGTGTAATAAATTTTGGAAAATGGTCATATTATTAGCCATGTTAAATGATGATTTTGTGAATGTTATGCAGAGTATAAGATATGATTGGTAATTGGTGTGAAATTATGTTTTTTTTTGTTTTCGCCATGGTTTTCTTTAAATTGATCACCCACGAGAATTGTATCATTTTCTTTTGATCGACCCATTCCTTAGTTGTGCCTATGTTGGAGTAGTATGGGTGTCGTCGATGGGTATGGGATTATCTCGTGGAAATGGGATTACCCTCTAGTATTTCCTCTTTGGCTGCTCAGTAAGCCCAAGTTATGTCGTTTCTAGGGACTGATGGAAGGTTGGTCCTCTGCTTTCTCTGCCTTGGACACTGCTATTTGAGTGGGTGAAGCCATATAATCTTCTTATTCATGATATGTGCTTAGTAGGTTTATTCTGTAGGACACTTTTGTAGCATGGTGGTATAGGGATAATGTGCTCCTTTAATTTGATTGATCCTCTTGCTATGCAAGCATGTCGCGCTTGGCTAAGAAGAACTTGTCACTTCAGGGTATTGTCTTGTTGATGTCGGTTTTCTAGACATGCTTGATTGACTTCACCGAGAGGTATGAGATACAAAATACTTTGTTGAAGTATCGTTTGATTGACTAGTTGGATAGAGAACAATTCAAGATCTTTGAAATTCTCGTTTACTCATGATTTGGAGAGTTGCGAGACCCACAATATGGATATTTCAATCCTTCTTTTCGGGTTGCTCCATTTTGCCCTCGAGAATATGTTACTTGCTATCCGCTCTTTGTAAGAAAGCCTAACTCTTACCAATCTTGACCTAAGATGAATGCGACAATGTTTGAAAATCTTATTTTGGAAAAGTAGAATGGGAACTTGATTTGGGAAATCAAAGCCTTGCTGAGGGAAGTGTGTGCAACTTTGAATAACACGATTTTTGTGTAGTTAATGCCACATTGTTTAAAATTTGTTTTCTTTTGGAAGTCAAGCCATGAGAATATCCATAAGCTCTTGCCCTCATTCTCATTCTCACTCTCAATTTCACTCTCACTCAATCCTATGGGTGTGTTGAGTTTATGATACTTCAGCAACTATCAAGATTCTAGTCACCCTGTTGATGGGGGAAAAATGTCCTCAAGGTATAGGTTTGTTGATCATGGAGAGCTCGAGCGATCATTGTATGGTCTCTTGGTAAAAGTTATCAACTTTCCTGAAAGAAGCTCATGTATGGTATGACTCCAACTGTAAGAGTTCTAATGTTTTGAGAATTTGAATTTTCTCACATGAGTGATAGATAAATGAGACTTCTATCTTTAGTCGTGTAAGGTTTTTGCTGAGGGATCTGGTTGCCCCCAAAGTATGAGGTTGACTGATGGATAAAGGAGATATGTGTCCATGAAGTCTCGTCTTCCTCAAGTATATTGGTTCATCTTGGGTATTTTGACTCATGTTGTGCCCCCTTGTCTTAAAATTTTGGTTTGAGGGCTAAACTTGAGTAGTGACCCTTGTCTTAAAATTTTGGTTTGAGGGGTAAACTCAAGTAGTGAAGTAACTGTGGTCATGTGCGTAGAAATTCGATTCCGAAAATCTTCTCACTTGTCGAGGTCCGTGTTTGACCTTGAAATTATGGATAAAGAAGGTTTTGGTATGATGCATGCTTCGACTTCTCATTGACCCTCAAAATGATAAAGGGGTTCCTTTTTTATCTTGGCAGCGAGAGTTCAAATGATGGACAACAAGAATAATCATGGGATGTACTTTTAGCTTGTATTGGAATTCTTGTCGTGGGAGCCTTTCTCATTCGGGTTATCTTGCATTTTTCTTCAAACTTGGCAGACATATACCCTTTGGTTTAGAGACCTGATTAATTTCATGACTAGCATTGCTTCAGTGTATAGATCTTGCCGACTGAGAGGATGAGCACTGCGTAAAGGTAAACTTGAAATGATCTCTTTGGCCTTTTAGCGGAGGTAGGCAGTAATTTTTACATGTCATGAGTCTAAATGGTTTTGACTTCAAGTGCTCATGTAAGGGGCATCTAATATGTAAGTCCCATAAGTTTTTTTTCTGTTTTCTATTTTTATATATTTAGATTTTCTTTTTCTTGCCTTTTTCGCTTTTTACTTTTGCTTTTTTTTGTTTTTGTTTGAGAGTTGCTTGACTTTGTTATGTCCCCATACATTATATCATTTTGACTCTTTTGATTTCCTGCACCAATGAGTTTATCAAATAGGATCATTCGGCTTCTCAAATATACTATTCACGAGAATTCCATGAGAACTTGAGTATTCTGATGTCGTCATATCAAGCTTGCAGATTATATTTTTACCACTCAACCTCCTTTTTAGTCGAGCTTTGATTTGATAGAGAATATCATATATGGTTGTGACAAGCTTCTACAAGTAGCCTAATGTTGTATCCTCATTACACTCTTTGACTATGTAGTTAACACAATTTACGGACACCAGTGGGGTGTTTATACTCTCAACTATAGCCAAATATGGACACTATCGCCATTTATGGGGTGCTCAAATTCATGACACCATTAGGGTGTTTATAATCGCTCGACACCAGTGCGATGCTTATAGTTGCTTTACATGATAATCTCATGGCTTAACTTGAAGACACGAAATGCATTTTATGGTTCCCATTTTTGGAGAAAACAAGTCGACTTTTATTTGTAAAGATAAGGATCATTGATGCAAACTTCTAAATCAAGATTGGCAGTAATCACACAATGTTCTAGATCGGTGGAAATGCAAATGACATTTTATTCTTCATGATGAATGCAAATGATGATACATAGTTGAGCGGTGTATTATTTGACATTTATTTGCATGTGCGGGTCAACATCATCCTCGAATCAAGCCCCATTGCATGATATGCCTACTGATCTCCATGTTTAGGCAATGGGTTGTTGTTGAAGTCTTGGCAGCTTGGTTCTTCAATTTCCCGACAAAATCCTCATGGACATTGTCATTCGGCTTCTTTATTTTTTCAAATGGCGTCAACCTTCTATTGGTGTCATCAAATTCCTTCTGGAATGACTCTGTAACAAGCTCAACCTTGGATTTTTGTCGAGTATTGTGAGTTCTGACTTTCCTTGTGGATGATCAAAAAGATATGTTCATGATTTCATTATCGTTAAGATACTCCACATTGCTAGATGAGATGAATGTATGATATTCATGCTAAATGATATGAATGCATGTATGCAATATGATATTGTTGTGTGTGCACATCCAAATTGTAAACACATTGTGTTAAATAGACGAATGAATGAGGAAATGAATATGTTATGATTAGATAAAGTTTTATGCATATGGACGAACCATGTCGTTCATGAATAATCGACCAAGCAAGATTCATTAAACACACATCAACAACACATAGAACATCACCCTATTTAAACCTAGGGTTTTCAGAGGATTTAATGATGAGGTTTAAGGTAGGCCCTAGAATATGTTTTGAACGACTTAGGGTGGCAACAAAGCTGACTATATGTTGGGTAGGAGTTCATGAGAATTAGGCTTCCAAGTTGTATCTCGTCAAAACCCTTTCGAGTTTAGCTAAATACCTCAAATCAACCACGGATTTGAGTTCAACTTGGTCAAAAAGCTTCACGTTATTCCCCTTCTATCGTAGAAGTCACGGTACTCCTTTCATTTTATGAAGGTAAATCTCGGGTATAGAGCTTTGGTGTATGAATGTAAATAGTTAAATACAAAATAATTAAATATACAAACAATATAATAACACTCAACACATTAAAGAAGGTAATAGAAGGTTATCGATTTAATTAATGTAGCTCGACTCTCAATTGTCCCCAGCGGAGTCGCCACTGTCGCAACCGCCCTTCAAATCGGGGGACCCGTCGCAAAATGATCGCAGTTGCCATCGACCTTATTTGTGGTGGATCAAACAACCTTTTTAGTCCTGTTTTAACCTTAGGGCCACAACAGGAACCTAGTCTGCGAAGTTTTAAAGTTCTGGAATCGGGAGTACAGTTACGTGTGGGGAAGTGTATTCACACCC